ATTCCTAAAATTGGGGGGGGGGGATTTTTTATTTCCCTGCCTTGACTTTTATACCTGATTGCCCTGCTTTTTCTTCCTATCTGCAGATTTCCTGTTTGCTTTTGCTTCTCTGAGGAATACATATGCAGCGACACTTCCAGATAAAATGGATTTTGAAGCGAGGGGCTGGTCCCCCCAGGAAGCGGGCTGTGGGTTTATTTAAAACAGCTGAACAGCAGCACCTCCCTTGTAAAGAAATAAAAATAGCTCTACCTGTGAAGCCAGGTACAGTATTACGCAATAGTGGCCACCTTGATTTTGCAATTCTGCCCAGCTGGACGTCACAAGTCTGGAAGAAAGGCTCGGGGCAGAAAAACCCAACTTTTCTGCCTGGTCTTTGGACAGAAAATCCGACTTTCAGGCAGCCGGGAAGAGTCCAGCCGGCGCCCCTTCCATGGCTCCAGACAGACAAGGGGAATTCTGTCCAGGATGGGGCGGGACAGGCTGGGGGTGAAAAAGGGCAGACTGGCAGGTATGTGAAAAACAGGACAAGGAAAGGAAGCGAGAGTCTCTTGGCCCTAACATGGGGGTGGGAAAACTGGACTGAGTACAACTGTCCACAGCCTGACATTAACTCACCTTCCATTGCATTCTTCGTAGGAATGTTGCTGGCTGAACCTTTATTACCAAATGCAAACTTTTAGCGGATGCGGTCACTGCAACTCACGGATGCACAAGGATCTGTGGCACCAGTTCTTAACAACAGACCTGCAATAGGGTTTTCCTCCCTCAGTTGAAGGGGGAGCAATCTGCAGGCTATCTGTGTGCCCCCCCCCCCCCCCGGATTCCAGTTTGCAAAGACCCTCTAGATGAAGCTGTCCACATTTTACAACCCAACAGTTATTCAGCAGTGTGATTTGAGGCTATTTTTAGCCAAATTAAAGGTGGGTATGAATGCAGAAAGTGTTTACTAGGGAGAAGCAAATATATTGATAATGGCTGGGGGCACACCCATATTCACCCATATTCGCTTCTGATTTTAAAATGATTGATTGATTGATTCATTCATTCATTCACTCAAAACATTTATATAGCCGCCCATCTTAAAACAACTCTGGGCGGCTTACAACCACTAAAACAGTATAAGAACAGTATAAAACAATGAAAACAATATAAAACTGTTTATACTGTATAAAAACAGTATAAAAATCTTCTGCCTTCCTCCCTCTTGCCTTTGTAACTGCACCTATACCATTTTCTTAGCAGCATTATAGAGAGGGTTTGGGGGGGGGGGGTTGGCCTTTTTCTAAGATGTTTTTCAGCCTCCCCGTCTAGCCTTGCAGCTCCAACATTCCCTCGTGGTCTCCCATCCAAGTCCTAACGGGAGCCAATCCTGGTGCATTTTGTGATCAGCCAAGGTCACCTGGGTCCTCCCCGCTTCTGAGCTTCGATTCTCTTCTCTTACTGCTACAGGTTAAAAACGTTTGACCGCAACCTCTACAACAGCGGCAGGTCAAGACATACGCTTCTCAAGGTTAAAAAAAGCCTTAAAAAAAAAAAGAGGGAGAGAGATCTAACCACAGCTGCAAAATCACTCCTTATTCCTTTCCGAGGCCAGAGCGCGCGAGAGAAGAGGATGTCGGAAGGTCTAAATACTGAAGTCACCATCTTTGAACGCTATTCCACATGGCGAAGAAAAGTACCCAGGCACATTTCTGGTCCCATCTCCCACGCTGCCTCCTTTCATTTCCTGGTCGGAATATAAAGGTCTTACAAATGTCTTTTCCAGGGCAAAGATCAGCTCATTGTGCAAAACAGTAATTGCCCTGGGTTTGTTTTAATTTAGCAATTCAGTGTGAAGCCTGGGCGTCTTTGCCAACATGGTCAAAGACTGTCCTACGCAGCTTTGGTTGAATGCGGCTGCTCCTTGAACATCTCCCTGTCTTTGACCCTTTGATTGACGCACGGGAATAGCGAGGCTGTCTCAGCCAAAGGCCTTTGTTCTACAAAAAAGGCCGCACACGATTTTAACCTTGGACGCGATTACTGTTGTGCCCCCGAGTGGTGAAAGGGCGATGCTGCTACAAGGCACGGGGAGAAATGGGTTTACACAGCAACATTAAACCCTCACCCTGGTTAACAAAACACGATTCGCGTGTTTTCTTATCAAAGTTTGCAGGAAGGGGGTAAAAGAAGTCAAGATGGCATGGCCACACCATGTGAACAAAGACCCACCCCTTTTTAACACGTGTTGACCATCTTGACTTGGACCATCTTAACTTGAGTTGTTTATCAGCATCTGGAGAGATTCTGCTTCCCACCCATCCTTTTTTAGGTATCTAAATAGTATCTAATTAGCCACCTCCTCCTGTACAGACTGGCTTATAATTTGCAATAACATGATCAGGTCTTGATGAACGAGAGATTCCAAAGTCTTATTTGATGGTAGCATCTGAACATACCCATCAAACTTCCATGGTGGTTTATTGGCCCTCTACAAGGTTGAGACTGTTTTTCTATTTGGTTTTAAAAAATAATTGCACAACGTTCATATTTGTCGGCTGTTGTGATTTTGTGGTACACGAGTTTTATTGTTGGTAATTTGGGGGGTGGGGGGGTCATAAGCACCTACATGTTCATGATCTACAAAGGATTATGTCTCTCTGTCCCCCTTTGGTGGACACATTTGTGGACCCATTTAGTGAGAAAAGTGACCCCCTCTTTTTCCTGCAGAAGAACCAAAGTATCTTTCTCAGGGGGTGAGCTGTTCCCCACTTGCTAGACGGTTGAAAGAGAAATTATAATATATTCTACATTGATGGACTTCCTGAAATGTTTCTCAGCTATCTACCCCGTTTGACTCTAGGCAAGCTTACAGGTGTCAATCTTCAACAAAATCCAAGGCCCCAAAGTCATTAAAAAGAAGCAGCATTAAAAAAAAAAAACCTTAAGAGACTTACGTGAAAAGGAATGCTTGAAGATTTCGTCTTAAGCTGTAACAAGAAGAGAGACAGCCTCAGCTTCAAGGGGAAATTGTCTCGCCACCCCCACCCTTCCAAAAACCAGAAAGTTAAACGCTGATATGAAGAGTGTCTATGTTTACAGAATTTGCAAACGGTGCTGTATTGGACCCAGAGCATGGGTAGACCACATGGGACTAGGCAAGTCATCTGGGTCCTGATCTAGTTTCAAGATCAGAGGAGAGTTACCCGTTTCCCTGTCCCACCTCTGGAGCAGTTGCTGTATGGCGAGAGTACGGTAGGAAGTTGCCCTACTGTGTATTCAATCATATTCTGTCTAGGTAGCATAGCCTGCATCAGACTCCTCCAATACAATGTCCTCCAGATGTCCTTCAACTCCCATGTTCCTCAGCTTGCATGGCCAAAAGGTACAAGGTCCACCACATATGTCAGACGATCAGTTGGGCAACACTACCCAATTGACCATCGCTGTCACCTGCTGCATGGAAAGTGTGTGCATCACCAGTGGGTCTACTCACCCAACATAAGTAACCATGAGCTGAAGTTCAAGAGCTGAAGGCTGCGCTGGCACTCCCTGCTAAACCTGGCTAATGCTAACCTTGGCTAGTATTTTAGTGGCTTCACATGGGAACCCGGTCTTGTAGGTTTCTTCACTGTTCAGTGCTTTGCGTGAACTCAGAAAATGGGTTGATTCATTAGCCGGTTTAAATGGAATGTATGAATTGAATTATAGCCCAGTAACCCTTTAGGGATTGCTCTTTTGAGCTGTACCCCCTTAGCGCACCATTTGTATAACTTCTCTATGGCACAGGGACCATGCTTTCTTGGCCTAGCTATGACTTCATCCCCTTCCCCAGTCCCCCTCACCTCCTGCTTTGAAAGGAGACTGATTGTTTCTCAAGAAGAAAATTACTATTCCTATTCCTATTACTATTATTTAAGCAGAAGAGGGATCCTTGGTGTTCCTTTGTCAGACTGTGGGCCATATTTTATTCCGACAATTAACAAAACAAACTCCGGCCGCCTGGGTCTGTTTGTGATTATTTGCTTAACAATTCCCCAGCCTGGCGCATGGGCGTTCTCTCCCGCGTGGCACGGTGCCAAGTTGTTCAATCCACTTTCCAGAAGCTCTCCTTCCAGAAAGGACTTCTGACTCCGGGCAGGGCGCCTTGAAGCAGAATGTCCTCCCTCTCCCACAGAGCAAAGAGGGCGCCACCGTGTCCTCGCACCAGTCCCCAAGGTGACTCACCAGTGTGGGAACATTTCCTTCTTCTGTAGCCTCCTCTTTATGGCAAGAGGATAGGCAAGCCACAGAAATAGAACCAGACAAGCCCCGTAACACTAAGTGCTGGCCAGCAGGTTTTTCCAGCAGCCCCAAAGCTTTGCCCCCAAGTATGTAAGAGTCCTCTGCCCCCCCACCCCACTTCTCCCCCACATATAGTTTACCAGTTCACAGGAACGGTTGGAGATGGGCGCATTCACCTTCTTTCAAAGCCCAACAAGAGGATCGATCGTAGGGCCAGAAGGCGAGTGGATTGATCTTCCAACTAAGCGTTTTTGAAACAGAGTTTTACAAAGTGTTTCCCAAGAAATCAGGAATATATTATATATGTACACACACACACACACACACACACACACATACTGTAATTTTGGAGGACATCACTATTGTGTGTGCTCTCATTTGGGGTTTGTATGGCTTCATTCCAAACATTGCAAATACAGGGAATGCTGTGAGTCTCCAGCAGGGGTGTCCACCTGCTTTGCATTGTAAAAAGGGAAAAGGCTTTGATTGTGCAGTCATGGCTGCCATCTTGACTTTTTTGACCCTTCCCCCCTGCAGAGGCCCCTGGCCTCCATTAGCTAAGTATTCAGGATGCACTGCACTTCAGCCTCACCTGAGCTCCAGTTTCCAGCCCTAACTCTGGCCAGATGCTCCGGCTGTAAGGCTATCGAACAAAAGTCTGGAATCTGAGGTCCAGCTGCATTGCGATGCCTGCCATCTTGACTCCTTTTATCACACCTTGTGGACACCCCTGTGTCTTACGGCAGAGGCCAACTCCTTTAGAAATGGGTTAGTCTTTCAGAAACCACAAGGCTTCTGAAATATCTTGGCTGCCAAAGGTGAACAAGGCTGACCCTGCTCTTAATGCAACAAAGCGGCTGCTTTGGGTGATAGGTTGGGATGGGGGGTGAATTGGGAGCCCGGCCACCGCCCACTGTCCTTGCGTCCACCCCCAGGAACAGTACAGATACTTAGAGCAGTGCAGAGTGAGGTCTCGTGGTCTCCGCTGGGACACACTGATGCCTATTACGCTGCTGTTTCCCTGACAAAGGGTGAGTAGAGCTACTGTGGTTTTCTCAAAGGGAAGGGTGCGCAGGAGGGTATTCTGGGTGGTGGTGGATCCTCTTCTGATCTCAAGCCTGTTCAAGGCCACCCCGGCGGCCACTCCTCTGGTAATTAAACCTCAATGGAATTCTCTGCTAAATCAAATCCTCAATTCTGCCACCAGGAAACATAAGATAATCCTTTGCAGAGCTCAGAACAATGACATACATGTACGGATCACTTCTCTACCTCTTTCTTCCACACGTCAGAGCTCCTCTGTGGGTAGAAGAGACCCATATATTCAGAGTGATCTAAAAGGCAGAGTTCCCCCACTTTGTAAGAGGAGATTTTTGTCATGGATCCAAAGCTAACCGGCCCAAAATTTAGTAAATCCCATGTTCTGCCCCCTCTCAGTATTGATCAGTGGAACCTCCAAGAGGATGGCTACAAGATGCATCAACTTTCCTCCTTAAGATATGACCCTGCTTGAAATCTATGATTACATTGATTATACTACTGGGAGGAATTTTATTGCTGCTTTACAGGGACAAGTAAAAGACAATCAAACTTTGTTCTTCAATGGCACCTGAAGGTCTCCACCAGCTTGGTCAACACTCAAGGTCTCAAGTGGCTTCTGGATTTTAAAATAAAGCTCATCGTCAAAGCAGAATGTGTCGGGTGGCTGGGCTAAGAACGGTAGTTTTAAAAGCAGCCCAGTGAGATACCCTCCTACAAGGGACAC